AGGATTCTTCTTTCACTGTCTTGAAGAAAGAGCTGAGCGAGAGCTGTCGGCCTCCGTGATTGGCTGGAGCCAGTCTGGGTCTTTTTGTGGTTTTTGGTTTCTCCTCAGTTTTTACACGGGTTGTGTTTTTCTTCTTATCTTTCTAAATAAAAAAAAAATAAAAAAACAGGATTTACAGATTTGTGGATTTAAATAAATAACCATAAAATCAAATTATTTATAAACAGGTATTACTGCACCTTAGCCGTGTGTTCTCTTTGACTGTCCATAGAATCATACAGCTTCAAAATCTGCAGGACGTCAATATGATATTAAAATTGAAGAAAAAAAACAATGAATGTGTTTATATTCACAGATATCTTTTCCGCATCAGACCACCTGTTACAGACCAGTGGAATCTTGGATTTAAACAAATTTCTAAGGTATGTCTGCCATTTCCCATTAACATTACATTTAAACAAACAATTCTAACACGCACAAAAACATAAAAGTTACTAAGAACAAACCTTTTTTACTCCGGTGGACACGGCAGCTATCTGTAGAGCAGATCTGCTGATCCACTGTGCATTTTCAGCCTGTGTCGTGGCATCAGTATCGTGCAGCTGCACAGCATGGACCACGTATGTTTGGTGGATATGGGAGAAAATGTGAACCACCTGTGAGAAGACAAGTTCTCCTGAATGTTAAAATGTCTCTACACACAGTTTGAAAAAGTCTTTACACTACTGATGCCTACCTCTCCAACATAGTGAAGGAGGCTCTGGTTAAGGCTAGAGCCCAAAGTCCCGCTGAGCTCACTGCACAGCGCCCTCTTCTGTTTCATCTCAGATTTTCCCTCCTCCAGCAAAAGAACAGGGAAGTGTTCGCTCCACTCGCGGCGGCTTCTTGGCTGGTTTTCTAGGAAAGTTCTGAACGCCCAGGTCATCGTCCCAGGGCTCAGAGGGACAAAGGGGACAGTTTCCACTGTTCACTAATGGAGAAGAAAAATACAATTTATTATTAATTTAAAATTATGTGAACAAGGTTATTTCAGAGAAGAGAAGTAGAAATATTTGAAACACTTACTGCAGTCTTCTATATCAGACAGGACTAAAAGCTTCTTCTCTGGTTTCCCTAAAAGCCTTTCTGAATTTTCTTTTTGTTTGACCTGAACCTGCAAATTTAGACACACAATACACGATTCTGATATTTTAGGATTTTTTTTCTTTTGCTATTAATATTAACATCTTCATTTACAGTGTAATAAATATTGTTTCTTATTTAGAGGGCTTGCCCTCTGATATCAGCTTTACCTTGCTGTAGGAGTGGCAGTGAGTCTGTACAGGACACTGGCTGCACACAGGTGCTTTAGGCGTACACACTCGAGCTCCAAGCTCCATCATGGCCTGGTTAAAGTCTCCAGGTCTCTCTCGATCCACCAGTGCATTGGCCAGACCCCTGGAATAACAACAGCAGACAAATGTGCCTCTTTAAAGTCTATTTTAATCAGTCAGCGACTAAAAAAAACTGCATAAATGTTGCAACCAAAACAACTGCGTCTCTAAATCAGTCTTGGCAGTCAAAGGCTACACTTGTTAAAATGTTAGAAATCTATACAGCTTCAAAATCTGCAGGATGTCAACGTGATATTAAAATTGAAGAAAAAATGTGTTCATATTCACAGATATCTTTTCTGCATCAGACCACCTGTTACAGACCACTGGAATCCTGGATTTGAACAAATTTCTAAGGTATGTCTGCCATTTCCCATTAACATTACATTTAAACAAACAATTCTAACACGCACAAAAACATAAAAGTTACTAAGAACAAACCTTTTTTACTCCGGTGGACACGGCAGCTTTCTGTAGAGCAGATCTGCTGATCCACTGTGCATTTTCAGCTTGTGTCGTGGCATCAGTATCGTGCAGCTGCACAGCATGGACCACGTATGTTTGGTGGATATGGGATGAACCACCTGTGAGAAGACGAGGGGTGTTCTCCTGAATGTTAAAATGTCTCTACACACAGTTTGAAAAAGTCTTTACACTACTGATGCCTACCTCTCCAACATAGTGAAGGAGGCTCTGGTTAAGGCTAGAGCCCAGAGTCCCGCTGAGCTCACTGCACAGCGCCCTCTTCTGTTTCATCTCAGATTTTCCCTCCTCCAGCAAAAGACTGGGAAACTGCCACAGTCCTGCTAACAAACCTTATGGTACAATGTCATTGTAATTAATAAATAATTAATATATTATATCAATGTCATTGTAATTAATAAATAATTATTATATTATATTTTTATGCCAACCTAATGAATAAATAAGACAATTTTCTTTTTTTTTACTACATTTTTAATCACTTTATTTAACATTACATCACATTGCTTTTAATCTGTTCTAGAATGGCTGCAGACACTTGCCTTTGTCTGGTCTTTGGCGCAGCAGGAACTCGTCCTCTCCGTCCTCTCCGTGTCTGACCACCACACAGGTAAGTGTTCGCTCCACTCGCGGCGGCTTCTTGGCTGGTTTTCTAGGAAAGTTCTGAACGCCCAGGTCATCGTCCCAGGGCTCAGAGGGACAAAGGGGACAGTTTCCACTGTTCACTAATGGAGAAGAAAAATACAATTTATTATTAATTTAAAATTATGTGAATAAGGTTATTTCAGAGAAGTAGAAATATTTGAAACACTTACTGCAGTCTTCTATATCAGACAGGACTAAAAGCTTCTTCTCTGGTTTCCCTAAAAGCCTTTCTGAATTTTCTTTTTGTTTGACCTGAACCTGCAAATTAAGACACACAATACATGATTCTGATATTAGTTTTTTTCTTTTGCTATTAATATTAACGTCTTCATTTACAGTGTATTCAATAATGTTTCTTATTTAGCGGGCTTGCCCTCTGATATCAGCTTTACCTTGCTGTAGGAGTGGCAGTGAGTCTGTACAGGACACTGGCTGCACACAGGTGCTTTAGGCGTACACACTCGAGCTCCCAGCTCCATCATGGCCTGGTTAAAGTCTCCAGGTCTCTCTCGATCCACCAGTGCATTGGCCAGACCCCTGGAATAACAACAGCAGACAAATGTGCCTCTTTAAAGTCTATTTTAATCAGTCAGCGACTAAAAAAAACTGCATAAATGTTGCAACCAAAACAACTGCGTCTCTAAATCAGTCTTGGCAGTCAAAGGCTACACTTGTTAAAATGTTAGAAATCTAATGGACTAGTAAACACTCACCAAAGAGCCTCAGTTACTGCAGGACTGGTACTGTCAGCACCAATGGCCCTGAGACGACACAGTACCCGGATCACATTGCCATCTACAGCTCCAGCAACCTAAGCAACAATAATAAATGATAACATTTTATGAAGTGGAGTGGGTACATGTCAGACTTCACAGGGTTAAGTGACTTGAAAATAAGAAAATGTGCTCCATGAAG